ACGAGCCTCTTCTGCGTCCATCTTGGCGATTTCGTGGAAGTCTGCTTCTCGCAGCTCGTACAAGATCGCGGCATAGACTGCATAGTCCTCAATGAAGCGGCTGTAATAGTTCAAGCTTCCGAGGAACGACTGCATCGCCTTCAGCTTGGTGGGGAACAGAAGGTTGGTGATTTATTCAAGCTCCTTCGGTTTCGCTTCCAGCCCAGCTGAGGATACTTCGTGTCCTAGATACGCCACCTCGCGTCGATCCCAGTAGCTCTTGCTGCGCTAACCGACAAGTTCCACCGAGCACAGACGTCGAGCAGTTTGTCGACACGGTTGCACATGCTATCTCACGAGTCGCCGGTCACAAGGATGTCGTCCACATACGACCTCCGCCCGAGGACCGACGGCTTAGGCTCTGGCTCTGTCTCTTCTTCCTCGAAGACGTAAACGGGGTTCGACGGGGTTCGACCTATCGTGATCGGGCTTGATGCTTATGTGACCGTACAATCCATTGTCGACGATTCGTTGGTAGATCTGAGGAGCGTTCTTTAACCCGAACGGCATCCTCGTCCACTCGAACAGCCCGAACGGTGTGATGAACGCTGACACCAGTCTTGCCCGCGGGGTCATTGATACCACCCAGAATCCACTGGCCATATCGAGGGAACAGTACCATAGCGCCTTATCCAGATCTTCGAGGAGGTCGTTGATCAACGGCATGGGATATACCATCAGCCTCGTAAGGCTGTTCACTACCTGGTAGTCAATGCATAGGCGGATGTCGACTCCGTTAACCTTGATGGTGACTACGATGGGTGCCGCCCAAGGTGAGATGGAGGTTGTTGTGGTGATCTTTGCCGACAGCAGTCCCTTGATGAGCATTGACAGCTTCTCACGAAATTGTGGCGCTGCCCGTCGACATCGTTGAGCTACCGGCTTTGCCGTTCCGACATCGATGTCGCAAATAGCTCCGAAGACGGCCGGTGGTAAGGCGTTACCGGTTCCTATCAGCAAGTGACATCGCTTCCAGATGATGCGACGCAGTTGCTCGCGTTCATCCGGGGTCGCGTGTGGATCATCTACTTGTATGTCGTCGATGGTGACTTCCTTCGTGGTAGCCTCCGCTTCCGGCAGGACAGCCATGTTATTCTCGCTGTCTTCAGGAAAGATGTCTTCGCCTTCATGGTAGAAGACAGCATCGTCCATGTCAT